TATATACATGGAACGTACTCTCTTTGAACATCCTCGTGGAAATTTCACGGTAAACTTTGATGGCGTGATGGTTTCTTTTTAATAAAGTGTTTTTATATTCGTTGCTTTTAATCAAACTTTTGTCAGACTTTCATACTGTTTGTTAAATTATGTTTGCAAAAGCCTTATAAAGTAATTGAAGTTTTATTACCATCATGAATGCTGCCGTCATAAAATTTCACTATGCATTAATAAACTAATTCTTTATGCATATGGTGAGGGTTAAGCTAAATTTCGCATATTATCAAATTTCGAACAAACGATAATAATGCATGCATGAAAGCGTAAAAGTAAATTAGATACAAAATCTAAGTCGAAGTTAACGGTCAAGAACAGTCTGTAGAAATTATGAAGAGATTACCTTCTCAATTTCTAAATCTTAAGTTTTTGGCTAATGTTTTTGGAGTCCAGTTCTTCATATTAAACGTGCGGACTTCGATCTTATACCACCTATTGAGCTTTGTGGTACATAATGGAAACTCTTGATGATGATGATGATGATGATGATGATCGATATGTAGAAGCGTGAGGACGAGTAGGATACAGAGGGAGAAGAGTTAGCGCGTCGACGCGCTCGACCAAGCGAGAACAGTCTTTGGAGAATCTCGTAGCGCAACGGGCACGCAATGAGTGTATACCCTGAGCGAGAATGCCGATGATTCTTCTTTCTTACTCGACGCCGGCTATTTTCGACCGACGACTATTTTCGAGGGGGACTCGTCACGCGGTTTCGCCGCGGTTTTAGTGCGAGTTTGCGCCAGATGGCCAACGCAACATCGTCGCCGCCGCCGCCGCCGTCATCATCACCATCGAGGAACGTTGCGCCGGCAAACCGACCGGTTCATCGAAAGCAAACGAGAAAACTCCGTCGCCGATTTATCAGGAAACATACGGAGTTAAAGGACGTTCTCGACCTATTTATATATCTGAGCGTAGCGCATCGACGAAGTTATTGAAAACATTTTTGCATCTGAAACGAGCGAAGCTTCAACTAATCTGTCGAGAAAGTACCTCAATAGTAATAGATTGGTTTACTGAAAGTTAGACTCTGTCTTTGAAAATAAGATGTTGAAGCAAAGTTGTGTCGATTCAGTTTCATCGCCACGGTAAGAAAAGTCTGGCAGCACGATTGGCGGCCCAGAATCGTTCAACCTGGATTTAGAAATACGCGCATCTTGTAGTTGGCAAGATGCGCTCGTGAGACGTGGCGCAAGGTGTAGGTGACAGAGTAGTGAACCATCTCCTGTTTCACGCATCAACCATCAACCTGGATCCAGGAGACTGGACCGTCCTCGGCGGCGGCGGCGATACTTTGGCCGACGGTGGACCGCCATCGGCCACGTCATCGTCGTCATCGTCCCTCCAGACTCAGGAACTGAGTTTACTGATGCCTGGAAACATCCCCTGGTGGCCGCGTCATGACTGGGACGCGTGGTTGCAGCGCAATGTCACCGAGACCACCAGGGAACTCGACATGAAACTTGACGTCACTCCCGAAACTAACGATACATCGACTTCCGAGGTAGCGTCGAGACCTTCGTATAGCATTACGATATTCGATATTAATTATACTTGCTCGAGTACATGTGTATTCGTACGTGCGCGTTGTTTATGCTCGCTATTTCTGCGATCGTATGTTGACTTGAAACATTCCAATTCCCTTTCTGTGCATTGAACTCGGAAAATTTTACATCATAATCTTGAAATCCTTTATTCAGGAGGAAAGATTATCGGCATTGAGACGTTTAAAGAAAAAAGAGTTCCGATTAATTCGAGCATGATAGTTCATTCTATTTTAACCATTCAGTTATTAAAATATTGTAATTAATTTCAAGAGATATAATATGTTCTTCGTTTGAGTATTTATTAGTCAAAAATATTTTTAATCCTTCGTGGTTACACCTCTTGAAAATTCTGTAATGGTCACATCAGGATCAAAATCTCACTCCAGAGCGTATTTCACCGGTTATCATATTCACAGTTTCCGTTTTTTAAAATAAAAAAAATTACTAAATATGTTTTAATATTGTAGAACATAGAAATATAGCGATTTTATACCAATTTTAATTTTAACATTAAAAAAAATCACGAAAGTAAGTATGAACTTTTTTACTCAAAAAATTATAATTTAGAAAAATTTTTTAATAAACATTTATGGCTATACACATATGACACTTTCAAAAAAAAAATGCAATAGTTCACTTTAAAAAAAAAAATTTATTTTGCGAAACGAAGGCTATTTTTTGGGGAAAAAAATGTTAAATTACTGTATAAAAGATTGATTATTATATTAATTAAAAATATACTAATTAGAGAGAGAGATATATATCTTCGAAATTTTTCCAAATTGATCCTAATGACCACGAAGGGTTAAAAATTACGTCATTTAAATATACACGAAAATACGTTTTTTCTTTAGTAAAAGGGTTAACATGTAAAACGCGTGCGTCCATTTCTGTTGGCTATCCGCCACGCAGCTACGATGATGACACGGCACGAGCCTGCCGAGCTGATTAGCCGGCCAGGACTTTAACATTTAAGCGCGGCGTGTTGGGTTTTCTGTACAGCATGACGAGCATGGCGCACGCGTTTCAGGCCACGGTTTATATTTGGCGTAGCCCGTTCACGAAGACGACGACGACGACGCAACTTGTAGAACGAGAAGCGTGTGCTCCAGCACGACGCCGTTTCTCTCCATCTTTCTCCTCCCCGTTTTTAACCCAATATTATGGCCTAACCTTGATCAATATTAGTAGGTAGCGGAAGAAACACGCGTAACTCTTTGCCCGAGCAATGGCGCTTCTGTTATAACAGCGAGCAACTTAGCAGGAGTAATTTATCGCGATACAACAAAATACGATCCGTTAGGCAAAACATTTGTAACGATGATCCGTATTGATTATGTGACTCTTCTATTGTTCTATATTCAGTGCGTTCAGTGCGAGCATTCTATTTGGCTTTACTCTTCAATTCTATTTGAGTAACAATAAAATTTGAATAGAAAAAACTTAATCTTTTGAGGCTTTACAGTTGATAAATATTTAATTTGTTTATTCCTGTTCCGATAATATATATTTCGTTTTGTATTTTTAAGTGATCTAATTTCTAAATTGAACCAAATTAATCAGTCGCTTCGCCAGAGAATATTTTGGAGATGATTCTGAGACTAATGTGGTGATATCCGTGGGCGAGTGGATCTGCGCGAACAAACTGCGTCGCTATTTTGTAAACGGCGTGTATTTATACCAATACTCGAACTTAAAATCTACGACGATAGGACGATATCTTCGACATCGCAACCTTGGAGACAACTCGAGCTTTATTAATAGTAGTAGAGTCCACGAACCTAGTTCTAACACTAATTCTTTAGTCAAGCGCTTTCGGTTTTAACTATCAAGTTTTTAGAGTTTAGCGACGTATGCTCCATTTGTTTATTCATTTCTCTTTTGATATTAGATTTCTACATGGAATAAGATCGAACAATTTTAATGATTATCGAGTTAGATGATCAGATCTCACCCGAAGAGATTGTTTTTAATAATATTCACTTGATTTTCTTAAATCTAAAAATTAATAGAAACGCTAGCTTCAGTTGTCGCGAGGGGATACCTTTCCTTTAAGTTATCTTTGAAAACTTAGTTTTGTCTTGTTCATGATTGGAATAATGACAAAATTTCGAAAAGGAATTTCAATGACTGGATAAATTATAACATGGATAATCGTACAATTTCTCTCTTCTCTCATATCGTTTTTTCTCATGATTACTTTCTCCAGAATCTTCCAGAAGAGGCCTGTGCTGTAAAACTCAACATCTGTTCGCCATCCCAATATATATCGCTGTCTATTAAAAACAGTACCAGCTGTTATTGAGTAGACAATATTGGGCCGTGCAATAGACCTACTCCACATCTGATTGGTGTTTTGAAATTTCTATGTGTGTCAAGGTATACGAAGTAAGCAAGCAAGAGAGAGAGAGAGAGAGAGAGAGAAAGAGACCGCATGAAAACACGCGCTTATGATAGCTTGCTGATGCGTTTTGTCGCGTGCATATAACAGAAAGCGTGCCCTTCATGGATATCTCTTCTCTATGCACCAGGAAGCACGACGCACAGCGTTGCCAAGCATAAGCTTGCAGAACTTGGGCACGTTTCGAATAAGCGTTCCAAGACAATTTACGTAATACCCCGCAGATCCCTCTCTTTTCCTATTTCTTCGCCCTCCTCGTCTTCTTCACTTTCCACCTGCGCTTTTCTTCGTCTTCTTCCAATTCCGCTTGTCCGTTTCTCCTTCGCCGTAATCGCGTGTGCGAGTTACGCTGATCGACCCCCCCCCCCCTCTCTCTCTCTCTCTCTCTCTCTCTCTCTCTCTCTCAGTTACTCCGTATCCGATCGCTCTCGAAGAGTCGCTTTCGAGAGAGGTGGACGAATCGTTCTCTTCGGAGCGGGCACACCACTGCTCCCTGGTATTTTTAGTACGACGAGAGAGTATTTGGCGGGGCGCACTGAGTTTCGCCTTCTCCTTCTCCTCGTTGTCGTCGTCGTCGTCGCCATCGCCGTCGCCGTCGCTACCACCGTCTTCGTCTTGGTCTTCATCTTTATGAACGGCCGATGTTGTTCGTCTATCGTCGTCATCCCACTGATTGTCATCGTGGTTATAGTTTAGTGCTTTCCTCGGGTGGCGTTCTTTCGCCTTTAGTGATCGGCGTGCTCGCGCCTTACCATAGTGATGTATCTGCGTAGAAGACCGTTTCGTCAGTCTCGGTGTCTTCGTGTTCGATCGCTCTTGCGGCCACTCTTCTCGCACGACTTAATCACTACGGCTCGAGCATGTTGCGCTGAGATTGTTTCGCGAGATCCAGGACGATCTTGAGTGATTTCGATCTGTCAAGGGTCGAATTGGTTGATCTGGAAAATTGGTGGTTTTACGTAATTCGATTTGACAGCGGTCTCAAGCCAATCGAAATGTTCATATTCGCGCCGCGCGACACGTCGACCTCTCGACATGGCTCTGTCTCGCGACGGGGTCGTTTCGCGCGCTCGTCCACAACGACGAGCGTGACGCAGATGCTAAGCGACTCCTGCACGAGTCTTCTCCAGAAGTTGACTACGAGAGTACGCGGAACGTCTGCACTCAATGACGTCGGCTCCACGGCGAGGCGATCGCCTGGTGTCGGCCGACTGGGTACCACAAGAAGTCGCTTGGAGAACAAGTATAGCACGATTTTAGACAAGTATTCTGGCAAGAGGCACGCCGACGCTTCGGAACGAAGCGGTCGCGGTTATTCACGGAAACAAGAGCGAGATCACAGCTATTATCACCGAGACGACAGTCCGTTTGTGCGCGACGACAAGACTCTGGAGCCTTCGATGACTCGTACTGTCATCAAGAGTCCCACCAGCGTGCTTCTCAGCGAGAAAGCTTATCCCTACGTGAGCTCCGCGATAAGCAGAGAATCCAGACGCGAGAAGACGCCCGCCTACAACCGCACAGCTCGGCAAACTTTATTGAATTCGGATGCTTATCGCCGTTACGGCAGACACAAGTCCGGACATGCGGAAACGCGCAATAGGAAGGTGAGGCCGCATCGAAACGGCAAGAGCGAGCAGCTGGAAGCTCATTCGACGTCTCTAAGATTATGCCGACCAGTCAAAATCGAATCATTGACGTTTGTGGATAGCAAAGAAATCACGGTCGATCCGGACAAGACGCCAGTCGCAAACAGCAACACGGAGAACCTCAATGACGTCGCTCAGAACGTTACGCGGAACGAATTGTACGCGTACGACGCATTAACGGAGGATGTGGATCCGGCGATCACGGACCGGGCAGCCAAGCGAAAGGAGATCCAAAGTCTAATCCTGAAGTACGCCGCGATGGAAGACACCTATAGTCAATTGGCGGCTGGTGGACAGGCGAACGTACTTCCCAGCACGACGGATCTCATCGCCAGCAAGTACAAGAAGAGCAATCACCGCAGCAAGCAGAAAGACGACGCGTCCAAGGGCACAGTAGCCCCGGGTAGCGCGAGCGCGATTAGCGAGGTGGACACGATTCACGACGCGATCGTAAGTTGTCGAGCCATGGGTTGCCCGGATTGCGCGATATCTCGCGAAAGCGACGCCGTTTTAAGCAGAGCGTGTCCATTGCCGCTGTTGTCTTGTCTTCCTCGTTCTCGCCTGCGTGTTTGCGTGTGTGTATGTCGTAGTATTTAATTGTAGACGCGCGTATGCAACTCGTGTGAAATCCCTTTCCGACCTAGCACTCCCTAGATTCACGCTGACTGACGTCTATTTCGCGAGCCCGTTGAAAAGCCTATTAACCGTAGTAATCTTCGCTGCCTCTCCGATAAGCTAAACAATGCACGTCTGCCAATGTTTGCCGTGAGAGTACCACGAGGATATCTTGGGATATCCGACTACCACGCCAATCAACCTTGTCGCGATTCCGAATGTAATATTTATCAATCTACCTCCTATTTCCAATTTGGGGATTGAGAGTGTAACACGTTCCATGAATAACATACATATGCGATGTAGATATTGATTATATTTGTGTTTTAAAGTTCTAATTCAATTATCTAAACATTTAAATTGTTTGGGAAAACCGTCATCTTACATGGTTGCTAAATATTCAAGACTATCTCGGTATACTCGGTGAAAAGCGAACTGAGTCTTAACACTAAAAGATCGGTATTAAGATCGAAATTGTATCCATATCAAAGATGCAACAGTTTTGTTTCTGATCTTATCTCTATCCATTTTTTAAATAATCTTAATAACATGTTGAGAGTACGAAAGACTACGAGAGAGTACGCGGCTCTGCTTCTCCTCTTTCTGTTTGATTTCACCGTAGAAGTGACTAGCGATCGATGATCCGAAAAATTCGACAGTACAGTCCGCGTGTCGTATTCTCGATAAGGTAGGGTCGAAAGTCCGATCAGTATTGCTCCGTATTGCGGCAATGAGGATCGTGCCCCATGAGGATCGAGAGATATCTCTATCGATCGTCGTGGAGCGGCGGTTTACGCGAACACGTAAGTACTATGACAAGTCTATCAAGCAATTAACAGTTTAATTAAGCTACCTCTCCGTGTTAGATGAAAGGTAACGCGTTACAAGCACTTCGAAGAAGCTGTCCGGTTGTCCGCGTTTGTTTATTTTTCTTTTTTTTTTTCGTGTCTGTACAGAGTGATTCATTTTAATCTTAATAGGTAAATATATTTAGAAAATATACTACTTTACCAAAAAATATTCCAAATAAAAATTTTATGATATAAAATAAAGAGGAGATCATCATACGTCTCCCTCCATACCATATAATTTTTATTTGGAATGTTTTTGGTAAAATTGCATATTTTCGAAATATTTGCCTGTTAAAATTAAGATAAATCACCCTGCATATCTTTCGTCGAGATTGGGATTTGAATAAATCAGAATAATTCATTGTTTTGTTCGCAAAATTATCGTCGATCAAATATAGTAGTATATATTGCCATTTAAATCATTATCATATACGTTATCGCGATTATACGTGTACATAACGCACATGATTCTCTTTCTGCTTTTCTCTGTCTGTCTACGTTAGAATGTGCATTTGTAGTCGTTTCATGTCGTATCAAGTGCTCTAGTCTGTAGAGCCGTGCGCGTCTTGAGACGGCTCCTTCAAGGCATATACCAGGTCTAACACGAATACATATATAACGAGTATATAAAAAAGCGAGCGAGATAAAAAAAGAACCGAAAACAAATAAATAATTAAAATAAGGAAACGACTGCCGTATGAAAAAAATAAAAATAAAAGCATAGAATAAAGAAAAAACGTAAAAAGTAACGAAAAGAAAAGAATATACATATTATGTGCCGATGGTAAATTCGTAACCGCAACTTTCTGACTTGGCAAACCATTTTGCCCTCTCCCCTTTCTCTCTGATTGTTGGGTTACCATCTCCGTTGTAATGGAATGGAATGGAATGGAAACGGATATGGCACACACGGATTGGTCACAACTATGGTCGACCGGGTGCTCGGATCGGGTGGCGTCTCTCTCTCTCTCTCGGTGACGATGACGATGTTATCCTACCTTCCTACCCCCACCGACACACTCGTACGTTCGTCCCGTGCTTACACACGTGTCCTCTGCCGCGTGTTACACGGGTCTCCGCCGACTCGCGGTGGTGGTGGCAACGATGGTGGATGGCACGGTGTATGGCGATCGGTTGATGATCGGCGACCGCTCGACCTGGCGTGCATCTGATGGCCACGTGGATACGGCGGATGTGACCTGACGACTCCATCGACCGCCCCAACGGCGCCTCAACTCTGGATATCGTGGCATCTACGTCCGGCACGACCTGTTACTGAATCGGACCGACGCGAACACGGAATACCGAACACGGCGGGTCCGCGGCCTGCGATTGGGTCCAACTCTTGGCACGCACCGATATCGATACGCCGGCCCAAATAGAGCCCACGACCGCCCTCCGTTGAGGACGACGAAGACGGCCACCTTGTATACCAATCCGGCGATCTCCTGGCCAATAGATGTTCGTGATCATGTGAATACACTCATTGTAGTAGATTTAAGCAAGCCTCAGGTCGATTAACTGATCGGTTATCTACGGTATCTGCCCATACTTTCTATCTCTTTCTCTCTCTCTCTCTCTCTCTCTCTCTCTCTCTCTCTCTTTGTCTCTTGTCTCTTTCTCTTTCTTTCGTTTCTTTTTTTCCTCTCTTTTTCACTTCTCCTCGCCTGAATTATAGGTATTATATATGAAACAATATTTACACTACAATACAAGAGTAACAATTCACGCGTTAATCACGTTATGTATCAATGTTCTCGCTGAACGTCACCGTTCAGCATACACATACGCGCATATATAGAGATATGTTGTATACATATATATATATATATATATTATGATACCACTTATTCGTACACACATTTGTGCGTACACACATTGGCGCGGTTCTCTGTCTAGATCGAAAATTCTCCCTGTCGATCTTTTCGTCGCGCGCTAACTCGGGATACGCGAAAGAGCAGAAAAAAAGATATAGTTTCTCTCTGTCTGTCTGTTTATGTACAATTTATTTCAGAAAGATAAGTAATAGCATATATATAGTACATCTATTCACCACGTGTTTCGACAGCACGTAGGTAACCCGTCGGCTCGACGATGACGACGACGGTGATGATTATCGGGAAGCCGGCGCAAAAGAGATTTTGCTTTTTGATTCCCCGCTGAATCGAGGATCCCTTCAAACGCGAGGGTGATTTGGTGGAGACAGAGAGCTTGGAGGAAGGGAGTAGAGACAAATGAGAAAGACCGAAGGGCTTCTTATTTGCGCTATCTTCTCGATATGTCGTCCTCCTCGGGACGGCGTGTTCCTCGCTCTTGATACTCGTGCACGCGTGCGAGGACGACTGGCATTTACTCTCGCTGTTTTTGTATCTCTTATATAGTATCATTGAACTCCTTGCCTACTCGGTGTGTAAAGAATAAAGGATTGGAGACGATAAAAAGGATTCTCCCGTATGATCGACAGTAAATGCCACGTCCCGTGCACCCGTTCAAATAGAGTTACCGCTGCTTTTACCCCGTTTTAGGACCTTTAGGAGAGCAGCAATATTTTCGATCGATACCATTTAAACTATACGATACCGTTCCATGTTTATTCGTTTATCCCGTTCACCATGAACCGCGCGTGTACGATAACGCACGATCGGCCGAACGCCCACATGGAAGAGTCTCGCCCGCGTTCCTTTAGGGTCTCATTTTTCTTCTTTTTTTTTCTCTTTCAAACGCGACGACTCTCTCCTCAAGAGAGTGGTCTTTTTTCTTTGTGTAAGGGGGCGATGGACAAGGGGCACTCAAAGGCTTTTTTGTCGTGAACAAAAGGGTGCTTCGTCCAGTTAGTGAACGCAGGCGAGCACTCCCTCCCTCCGTGGGCCGCGAGGCTCATACTTGCTGGGCATTCACCTTTATTTTTACATTACAGATAAAGTACTGGCCACCCTAGGAGAGGGTACTTTTGGAAAAGTTGTCAAGGTTAAGGACTTGCAAATGTAAGTTCCAGTTCACATAAGTACATAGGTAACATAACTTCGCGTTTCGCACTGTCTACTCATATCTTTCTCTCTCTCTCTCTATCTTTCTACCTATTTATTTTTATTTACCTCTTTTCGCCTCGGTTCCTCGCGCGTCATCATCAATTCGCGCGCCGAGGAAAATCCTAAATGCGCGCGTTGCGCGACGTACCACAGGCAGAAATAGCCATCCGGCACTGTCACAAAATAACACGCGAGTAGTTGCAATAATAGGATGGCCTTGCACTTTGTTTTACGGGCCGGGCGTTTGCGACGGCCACGAATTAGATCTCTTTAGCGGAATACGAAGTTACGGCAAACGTCCGCGTGAAAAGTATTCTCCACGTGCAGCTTCGTCCTCATAGGATACGGGATTTGAGCTGGCGGGAGACAGTTTTAATATCAGATATCATGATCGATGTTATGAACATTCTAGGGATCATGTGATGGCTCTGAAGATTATTAAAAACGTGGAGAAGTACAGGGAAGCAGCAAAGCTGGAAATAAATGCTCTTGAAAAGATCGCTAATAAGGACCCGGAAGGCCAGCAGTTAGTATCTAATTGTTTTATTTATTCTTTAAGTAGTTTTGCGACGTAAAGCTACTCTGTAAGCAAGGATATTTTGTTTTAATTTAATATGTAAGGTTTATGAAACGGCGATAATTCATTGTCGATTATTTCATTTCAGTCTATGCGTAAAGATGCTCGATTGGTTCAATTATCACGGACACATGTGTATCGCTTTCGAAATGCTCGGTCTGAGTGTTTTCGACTTCCTGGTAAATATTGAAGCATACCTTATGACGAATTAGATGCATTAGTATGCACTGGTGTAGAAGCCAAATGTATATTAGTCTATCTACATACCAAAACATAATATAAATGCCTTGATTGATGAAATGCTTAATATAGATTTTATCAAACACACAGTGTAATTGTATTGAACATCTCGCGGTCCAATCCGCTCATGTACAACGCTTTTACATCAATTTATATATGATAGCCTTTAACATATAATACATACTAATGAAACCAAATTTGCTATTAGACGACTCTGACGCTATCAGGTCTAAGACATTGACGAAGTTATTTTTACAGAGGGATAACAGTTACCAGCCGTATCCGTTGGAACATGTTAGGCACATGGGCTATCAACTTTGTTACGCTGTTAAGTTTTTACATGACAACAAGCTCACGCACACGGATCTTAAACCGGAGAACATCTTATTCGTAGATTCGGAATACGATAGCACATATAACAACAAAAAGGTGTGCTATTGTTAATATTTTCTATTATCGATTTATCGAGCCTCAATTTGGCATGTAGAATAAGCTTCCATTCTAAAGTGTTTCAAAAAAAGCTTTTTCTTTTTAAGCGGAGAGACATGAGACGCGTGAAGCGAACCGACATCAAACTTATCGACTTTGGTAGCGCTACTTTCGATCACGAACATCATAGTACAATCGTTAGCACAAGACATTATAGAGCACCCGAAGTGATTTTAGGTGAGTACCTCTCTTAAAATATTCTTTTTGTCGCACGTACCTTTGTATCACTATCATTAATCTTATATTTTTCTGTATGTAGAATTAGGTTGGTCTCAGCCCTGCGATGTTTGGTCCATCGGTTGCATCTTATTCGAGTTATACCTGGGCATCACGTTATTCCAAACACATGATAATCGCGAGCACCTGGCGATGATGGAACGTATACTTGGCACGATACCACATCGCATGGCTCGCAAAACTAAGACCAAGTACTTCTACCATGGCAAACTGGATTGGGATGACAAGAGTTCGGCCGGTAGATACGTACGAGATAATTGCAAGCCATTACATGTTAGTATCTTGATTTGACTTCAATTAAATTCCTATATCAAATTACGAATTAAAACAAAGATTCAAATAGCGAGACTAGAGCGAATAAAAATTTAAAATGTAGATTATAATTTGTTTAATTAATGATAAAATAATTTTTGATATATAATGTAATTGTTGGTTATCCATAAAATAATATATATTTTTGTTCTATATAGCGTTATATGCTGTCTGATGATGAAGAACATCGTCAGCTGTTCGATCTGGTTCAACGAATGTTGGAGTACGAGCCCTCGCAACGTATTACTCTGAAGGATGCGTTGACTCACCCGTTCTTCGACGCTTTACCAGCATCCCAGAGATTGCCTGACCCGCGAGCAGCTGGTGATTCTCAACAATCTCACGAACGATCACATTCACTCTCTCGATGAAGCTAGGAAAGGGACCGATCTCCGTGCTGGACAGACACTCCACTTTCAACGACACTACTGCCCTATGTCTTCGTTCTAATATCATTAATTTTTATGAAAACATGTCTTTCGTAACTACAAGAGATTCAATGATGTGATGATGCGAACGTTGATTTTGAAAAATAGTGCGTGTATGTGTGTATAAATACTGATCATTGGAATTCTTCACTTCATCTGCACTCAGCACTGATTTAATTTGGAACTATATATAGGAACTATACGTAGAGAAAGCAGTAGTGCAGTGGTGCCGTGGAACTTGGACTAATTCGATTATATCTAACGACGAGCGATCAGATTACTACCCGTTGCCCGATAAGCTCCCGGGTGGTCCACGTTTGTTTTTATCGCAATTGTCCATCATGAGACAAGCGATAAGGTCCCTGTTACTGGCGCGCAAAGGCCAGTGTGTCTGCTCAGTGTAGCGTAACAGAGTCCCATAATTGTAAACAATTTTTTAAATGCTCTTCTGTACATTTTTTGTCCTTTAAATTTATTACACTGTTACTATACGATATAAATGAATTTGGAATAAAGATCACTTTCGGGGTCAACAGTTCATAATCTGTTTTGAATTGACGACCACGAATGTGTTCTGACAGTAAGTATCGGACTAGTGAAAAATTAAAATGGATAATAGTTTTACTTATACACGTCAATAGAGTTGACAGAAATTGAGAGAAAGCGATTGAACGCGAGCGAGAGAGGAAATGTGTGAATAACAATCACCACAATTCATCATTGTGAATTATATACATCTTGAAATGTAAGAATACATAATTGTCTTAGAAAATATTCTCTCAAACAATTCTTTTATTCATTTCTGATAAGTCCATCATACAAAATGACGTAAGTTGAATAAGCATAGCATAAGGCCGCTGGACTAATGAATATCTTATTTAATGAATATCTTATAACTCTTATGTAAATCAATATGGCTTTATGCCAGATGCTTATTGGTCTGGTGGCATTGTGTTGTTTATACAGCTTATGTCATTTTGTGTGTGATGGACTATAATACATTGAGTTCGGGAAAAGAATTTGCAAACTTTTTCGCGATGTATGTGCCAACTTAGCATCGCCTTGTAAATTCTTGGCCTAATTAAATAATATTTTTTGTCGATTATTGTCTTGTAAAGATTTAAATTAAATTAATGACGTATAATGAATATTGCGAAAAATGATTGAACATTAAGAGGCAATCTTCACTTTTTTTTGTCACAGACTTTTCATTTGCACAACTGTATCATCCGTATAAGTTTTGTTTGATCTTAGTTATACTAAGTCTACGAAATGAACAATATTATAGCTACTGCTCGTCAAACGCGATCGGAGATATCTAGGATGTTCTGCAGAAAACAAAAACGATATTTCTAGTAGCAATAAATACATTTCTTTCAAACTAACGTCGATATTTATTCGTTTAACCAGCAAATCAATTCTTACATCGAGCTTATATACTTTATTTGCAAAAATGCCTTCGTATTAAACACATTCATTCCTGCGAATTTTAATAACTAAATATTGCATATTAGTCATGTTTGCACATACGGTGCTAGAAATAAAATAAGCCCGATCAACAGGCTTTAAAAAGCAAGGAAGATTCATTTCCCGAAGAATTCCCTCAAACATGTATATTATTCTTTCATAGATCCGAAACAATCGTATATAAAATCAAAGACGTTAAATTAATGAAACAATTACAATGTTGGCCATGAATAAATTGGAGGTATTGCCGATTTATAGCTTGGATCGTATAATTGTGCCTTGATAAAACTCTCATAATCTGAAGGCTCCGGATAGACAGTTGCTAGACCTGGATATAAAAAAAAATATGAATAATTTATATTATGTAGCAGAATATACGAGATGCTTTGTGTGTTTTCTATCTTCTCTAACACATTTGCAATATTTATAGTATTTATACTCACATTTTTCATAGGCATATTTCATGATTGCACATGCTATACTCAACGAACATTTCTGTATATCGGCTAATGGTGGATAAAGATTGCCGCTGTCCAAATCGGCTTGCGTTACCAAGTCGGAGAGAGCCGTCGCGGCAATAAGGAAAGTCTCCTCGGGAATAGTGCGCATACCTGCGCATATTGCGGCCAGCGCGATTCCAGGGAATATGTAACTATTATTACCCTGGCCAGGATAGTAAGTTTTATTGTTATACGTGACTGGTGGGAAAGGCGATCCGCTCGCGAATATGCATCTTCCCTGCGCAATTCAAACAATGGTTGATTAAAATTATTCAGGAAACGTCAGCAAAATTTCATATTAAAAATTTATTTTTCAATGAATGTAGAGAATTGTTCCCACAAGTCAACTTCTTACCTCTGTAGCAATATATGCTTCTTCCGCGGTGCACTCTGCTTTGCTCGTTGGATTGCTCAGAGCGAAAATAACGGGTCTCTCATTGTTACGCGCCATTTCCTTCAATATTTCTGTCGTGAAGGCACCCCTGATAGCAGCTGCGCCAATAATAACCGAAGGTTTGGCGGTCTTAACAACATCCAACAGAGTATCGATTGGCTCATCCTCACGAGCAAAGTGCAATTTATGCTCCGTCAGTCCGCCCTTTGGGCGATTTTTCACTATCAATCCTTTTGAATCTACCATCCAAATTTTACTCTTAGCTTCTTCCTTAGTTACTCCTTCTTTTAGCATTGTCATCACGCACAATGTCGCGATACCTAATGACGCCTACAAATAATTCATAATTCATGAAAACGTACACACTCTTCAAATATATAATCTATAACGCGACTAAGAGGCCTATTCTGTATCTCTTAACGACTATAATGATATTATATTGTCGTTGCATAGCTTTTTTACTATATACAAAACCTGTGCAATGACAATGTAACATATATCGTTACAATCGTTAAGAATTACAGAATAGGCCCTTAAAATACAATTGTATTTTTGTTGACAGTTAACATATTCTCTAGTAAAAATTTTTCTCTAGTAAGAATTTTTCAAAGAATTTATTAGAATTTCTAAATAATTTTATAACTTTTTAGAAAATTTCTCAGATTTTTTAAATACAAATTCGAACACTTCAAAGTTTTTCATACATATAAAATCTAAAATATTCTAAGATTTCTTATTCTATTTTTTCAGATTTTATAAGAGTTCATCAGAGAGAAATTACAAAACAAAATTACAAAAATTTTAGAATATTTCAGAATTTATATGAAGAATTCTAAGAAAAGATATGTAAACTTTCTCAATTTTTCTGAAAAGTGTTCTAATTCGTATAAAAATTTTGAAAAAATTGTTCATCACGATGAACTAAATATTTTGATAGCAACCTCTCCAGCACCCTGAAACACGATCGTATTCTCCGAGAGCTTTGTCTGTGTAACACGAAGTGATGCCAGTAATCCGGCAACAGCGACAGAGGCGGTGCCCTGAATATCATCATTAAAGGTGCAATAGTCGTTGTGATATTTTTGAAGCAATCTGAACGCATTAAAATTTCCAAAGTCTTCGAATTGGATTAACGTATTCGGACCATATCGCTTCACAACAGCTTTCATAAACTCGTCCACGAAGTCGTCGTACTCTTGCCCGGTGACACGTTTGTGTCTGTGACCGATATATAGGGGATCATCCAACAAAGACTGCAAAAAGAATATAAGATTCAAACATATAGATTTAAGATTAAAGAAGAAATTAACGCGAAATATTTACGAAGAAATATTTTTTTTGTGTTTCACAGTATAACGAGGAACCAATGAAGGCGTTTACTGCAGATGTGATGTATTTTCGCATACCTGGGTATTAGTGCCGACGTCCAAAGTGATAGGCAAACTCTGGTGGGGTTTGATACCAGCTAATGCGGTGTACAATGACAATTTACCTACGGGAATGCCCATGCCGTGAGCACCTAGGTCACCTAATCCCAGTATTCTCTCGCCGTCCGTGACAACGATTGCTCGTACGTCGTGTTCGGGCCAGTTTTTTAAAACGTCATAGACATGGCCTTTATCGTGAATACTTATGAAGAGGCCACGCGGCCTACGGTAAACCAGACCGAATTTCTGACATGCCAAACCCACGGTCGGCGTATACACCAATGGCATTATTTTACCTACATCTTCTGCCAACAAACGGTAGAAGAGTTTCTCGTTTCTATCCTAAGGAATAAGACCCTATGTGAGAATCAACGCATATGAGAGGAGCAAGCCTGATCAAGCGGGGACGAGGAGACCACTAATATAGCGTCTCCGATCAAGCGACAGCGATAACTGTCGTGTTCATGTACCAGTAGGCCTATGAGATATATGTATTTTGAGAGATCATCCGTGTAGCGTTCCAGATTAAGACGACAAAGCTCTAACTGTTCTTCTTGAGTTTTTACGGCTGCCGGTAGAAGACCATGTATACCCAGTATCTGTCTTTCCTCAATACTGAACGCCATACCCTGAAACGTGATGATAACACATCATTAAATACAGCACTTAAAGTGAAATTTAAAAAAAATCCACTGAACACCTCTGTCTCCCTCAAAAATCAAAAAATATAGAAAAGAAAAAATGGAGTAAATTTATAATCCTATTTTATTTATCAAAATGTATTTCAATTCAATTGTCTTCATTATTCGGACTATTTCTACGGAAAACATCGAACGTTGCACGTATGTCGCTATCGTTCCTTTTCTTGCGACATTGGCAAACAGGAAAAAATTAATTGATGAGTCAGAATCAGAGCATCAGACTAGACTCTGACCTTCAATCAAAAGGAATGATACTGTAACTATTAACAGTGTTAACAGCAGTCATTAGTAAGCGTGGGTGAAAGGTGATCAGCTGATCGTCGTCCCACTTCGATTTTTACAAATGCTAATATTGCACAAACGGTACATCTAGCGATCGTGATTTAGATACATTATGTAGTGTTATATATATATATATGTGTGTGTATATCAGAATTTACCCTCAAGATTACTCATTTTCCGTGATCCATATTCGCTCTCAAGGATAATGACGTATAATATGCCCTCGGCGACGCGTTGTGTCTAATTGAATTTTACATAGATGATGTTAGAAAACGAGCTTATAAAAATCTTATAAGAGCGATGAAAAGAAAAGATTTGATTGTATCGTTTGATCGATATCAAATCGACAGTACTTTGTACTTCAGAGGAGCTTTTAATATTTAATTCATTCCCTCGAAATAGAGTAAGTTTAATCTAAAATATTTTAATAGTGTGTATTTTCAGAAATAATGTTACAAATAGGACACCTTTTATATTTGATTAAATTATAAACATAACGCGTATACTGTTGGCATAGTGATGTAGTTACGGATTGCAGGGACACTGCCAATGCTTTTTTAAAACGAACGTTAGACTGTGCCAGGTATTCGTTGAACCAACGGTTGACTTAAACGGAATGTTGTCAATTTACCTATATAATAAACGCTTTACACAATTATTCTACCATTAAAATTTAATAAATTTCTGCGTTTCTCTTGCTCGTCCTTCAAATGTAAACTCACCATTAGTAGAAATTGTCGACAAACAAGGTTAGTTACAAAATTAATGGACGTAATAAATTACAAGGTGGAAATGATGGAGAACGATAATGTAATAGATGTTATAATTAATGGAACGTCAACATTAAAAGAGCAGTATAATTTATGATACAATTTGTTATCTCATCGACTTATCTCGACTGCGGTTAATGAAATGCATTACTTTGCGATATGATTTCATTTATCTTCAAATACCGGAAAAGTAGCGAATTCTTGAACATTATATCCATAAAAGAAT